GTTTTTCTCCGGTACCGGGAACCGAACTCACGACCTTGCGCTTGCCAGGCAGGCGCTTTGCCGCTGAGCTAAATCCCCAGCCCCTGTATTCTTTTTTTCATATGTATAATTGAATAGAGTTCACATACAAATTTTAGCCTGATTTTTACATAAATAAAAATATTATAACGTTGACATTTAGAATTATGATTTAAATATTAAACTTTTTAATCTTAAGATAACTATAGAATCACATGAACTTGTAAGAAATAACACAGAGAGATTTATGTACCCATTATCCAAACTTCCCAAGGGTAACCTCCTGCAAAACTACAGTACTGTATCACAGCCAGGACACTGACAACTGATAGAATCCACTGATTCTATTCCATTAGGATGATTTTAAAAGATTTCAAAAAAATAAAAAAAAAATTTAAAAAGATTTTCAAAATACTCCACTGAGTAGCTATATATATATATATTTGTTTGTTTGTTTGTTTGTTTTTCCAGTACCGGGAATCGAACTCACGACCTTATGCTTGCCATGCAGGCACTGTGCCACTGAGTTAAACCCCCAGCACCCCCCTTTTTTGGTACCAGGAATCGAACTCATGACCTCAGGCTTGCCAGGAAAGCGCTTAAGCTGCTGAGCTATATCCCCAGCCCTGAGTAGCTATATGATAATTTAATCATTTTAATTTAACCAGTCCCTGATTAATTTGTCTAAAATTTTGCTATGATATCATCACTGAATTTTTCAGATTGAGAATAATATGCAGGCAAAGTTAGTACACACTCATTCACAAATATGTTGAAGAATTATTATCAGTGCAGCTATTCAAAAAAATTAAGGTCAGTTTAAAATTAGAAGGGGATTTTAATTACTATTTTTTGTTCCTCTTTCCCTAGCTCCTTTTGCCTCTAATCAATTATATGTTTTATTTACTATAAGTCTACCATAAAAATTCTCCCCTCCATATGAGATTTCAGTTCCATTAAGATGAAAAACTAAACAGTAAAATATCCTCACTCTCATTCTCATTGTGTGGCAAATTGAGAGAGTTACATATCAAAAACAGTAAATCCACGACAGAAAATGAAATTACTATACTTCTATTAATGGCTCATGTGAAAACCAGCATGTAAGTGAAAGAAAAGCTTCTTGTGATTCTGATGAGACTCTGGGGCCTTCTGGTGGACCATCAGTCTCCTAGGCTCTGCCTCCCTGGAGAAAGAATGTACATAGGACCCGTCTGAGGCTCTTTACACATATAGCAATATGGACACGGGGAGCCACGGTCTCCTGAAATCCTCAACCGAGTGGATTTTAGGTACACACAGCCAGGGTCTGACTCTGTCTGGATAAGGTGTCCCTGAGAACAAGGCTAACACAGATGAACACAAAACCAAAAATAAAGGTCAGGAGAAACCAAATGACTGCTTGAGCAACTGGAATCAGGCATGCATGAAGACATGTAACCCTGGCACTTTTTCATCATGAAAGCTTTGTTGTTGTTGATTAAATGAGCTTGAGGTGCATGGCTAGCACTCATAACTGAAATCGTTAATGTTGGTTTTGTTTTTGTTTTTGTTTTGTTTTGAGACAGGGTGTCACTCTAGCCTAGGCTTGTCTTGAACTCATGTTGATCCTCCAGCCTTAGTCTCCCAAGTGCTGGGATTACAAGCTTTGAATGTGTAATCTTCCTGCTTCAGCTTTCTCAGTGCTGGAACTGCAGGCATGCACCACCACACCCAGCTGATTTCTGTCACTTATACCCTAAAAATTATGAACATGGTATTCTAGTTTTGCACTATTTAGTGCAGTATCTACTAGCCGCACTGGGCTATGTAAATTTATTATTTATTTATTAATTTGTTTGGGTTTTTTTTGAGATAGGGTCTCACGACACAGTTCAGGCTGACCTTGAACTCACTGTGTAGCTGAGGCTGGCCTCAAACTCATGGCAATCCTCCTGCTTCAGCCTCCCAAGTGAAGGGATTACAGGCATATGCCAGTATACTTGGCTGTCAATGTAACATAATTAAAATTAAAATTTAAAATTCATTTCCTCAGTTGTACTAGCCACATTTCTAGTGCTCCAGAGACAGATGTAGCTACTAGTTACCATATTGTAAAGTGCAGATATAAAACATTTCCATGACTGTAGAAAGTTCCATTTGGGCAATGATATTCTAGCTAAATAAAAATGTTACTGTCTTTCATGTGTGGAACAATTAATTAAACAGTCAAAAGAACTCCCATGGGGAACAGCTAAAATGTGCCTCATCCTGAACTCACTATGTAGCCCAGGCTGGCCTCGAACTTGTGGTGATCCTCCTGCCTCAAAAAAAGTTAATCAGGGCCAGGCATGGAGGCACATGCCTGTAATTCCAGCACTCGGGAGGCTGAGGCAGAAGGACCACTTTGAGTTCGAGACTAGCCTGGGCTACAAAGTAAGCTCAAGGCCAGCCTGAACTGCATAGTGAGACCCAGTTTCAAAAAGACCAAAAAAAAAGTTAATCAGACCCAAAACTAACTCTGGGCCAGCAAAATCAGGCATAAAGTTTTGGGTTTTTTGTTTGTTTGTTTTTTTGGTGCTGGGAATTGAACTCAGGACCTTGCACTTGCAAACATACAGTATTTAAGACTAGTATCATATTTACTTATTTTGTGCTAACAGGGATGGACCCCAGGGCTTCATACATGCTGGGCAAGCACTCTTATCAATGAGCTACATCCTCAGCTCTCTTTATTTTTTATTTTGAGACAGGATCTTGCTGAGATGCCCAGGCTCACCTCAAACCATTAATCTCCCTGCTTCAGCCTCTAGACTCCCCTGGGATTATAAGCATGCGCCACGGCACCCAACTAAAAATATTTCATTTAACGGTAAGGTGTAAGAAATTTAAAATGCATGCTAAGAAAAAAAATGTGTGCTAAAGCAGTGTGAAGATACAGGAATGGTGTGCCTCAGCCAAAATAGACTGTAGAAAAAGCTGTTTCTTACTCACATGGGACGCTTTAGGAACAGGTTTTCATGTGAAAGAATAAAACATTGAATTTTAAGTGTGTCAAGTTAGATATCTAAGGAAAGAACTACAGAGTCAGAAGTTCAGTACAGAAGCTAAGGGGAGTCTATGAAGGAGGTGTAACCTGGGAGACACCAAATACTTGATATTAAAGCTATGAAGCTGAGTGCAGTGGCGTGCCCCTGTAGTCCCAGGAGTTCAGGGCCATCCTGAGGACTGGACAAAGTGGGAGGGGCAGAGCTGGGGGTGGAGCTTGGTGACAGCACTTGTCCAGCATGCACCGGGTCCCAGATCCAATTCCCAGCACTGCAAACATTTTTTTTTTTTCTTTTTGAGACAGGGCCTTGCTGTGCAGTTCAGGCCAGCCTTGAGCTCACTTTGTAGCCCAGGCTGGCCTCGAACTCGCAACAATCCTCCTGCCTCAGTCTCACAAGTGCTGGGATTACAGGTGTGAGCCACCACGTCCAGCACAAACATTTTTAAAAAGAAAAGTTTGTCCCATATTGTTAAGGCAGAGTACAGCTACTGAGGAAATGGGACAACTATGAAAAGGAAAGAGGAAAATAATGGAAAATAGAAATGACAGGCAAACAATGGGCCATAGCAGACACTGGACGATGGAATGAGGGAAGTGGTCTCCATGGCATGCTAGAACTCTAAAACTGGTAATTACATTCAACTCTAGATGATTCCGGTTATGTATTGTATATTTTTTAAAAGGCTATTTTAAATAGGACATATAATAACCCTTTGGTTAACTATTTTTTTTTTGAGACAGGATCTCAATATGTAGCTCAGGCTGGTCTCAAACTCATGCAATCCTCCTGCCTCAGCCTTCTGAACCCTGGGATTTCAGGCATGTGCCACCACGCCTGGCTTTTACACTTACTTTTTAATATAGCCTGTGACACATCAAAGAGCCCCTTTAAAGAAAACATTTACAGATATTCCTCATTTAATGACCTACCTGTTTAACAACTGTTCAGACTTAGACCTGTCTTTTCTTCACTTCTACACATCTTGTTTATAAAGCCTCAATGTCTTTTTTTGTATGTTTTGTTTATACAGAACTGTAAGTTTTGCTGACTATACTGTACAGTGCTATAGTTTTATCTTCTGTTATACATTACAGTATTTCATATCAGAGTTATGCAAATAAAAGCAAAACCCCCAAGTTGGGAGTTTCCTTTAACCATCTGTTCTGAATATTGCAACATACACATTATATACAATTTCTCATTTATTGACTAATTTATTTAACAACCTAGTCGCAGGACCTGAACTAGGGTCGTCAAACAAGAAGTGTAATTATTTTCCCAGTAAACTTGTGAATCACAAAGAAAGTAAAAGGCCTGAAATTTCCTTTACCCCAACAATCTGTCCAATATTTAGAGAAAAGTAAGCAAGAGTTCTGAGCAGGGGAATAAGACAGAATAAAACTAAACATTTTTCACTAGTCCGAGTCAAGTGTTCACTGTACTACATCTGTTTCAAATGCAGCAAAGTTCACATTTGTGGCATAAAGTAAATTATGACTTGAATGCAATATGAAACTTTATTATTTCTTGCAACTGTTTGACCCCCAAACATACCAAGCACTGTTATAAAGAAAGCACGTGCCAGGGAGAGGCAATAGGTCCATTTCAGCATTGACCTAGCAAGGAAGAAATCTAGCTTTAAGTTCCAGCTCTGTCATTTATTTGTGATATGTCCTTGATTAAGTTAATTTGCACCTTTAGATTTAAATTTCCTAATCTATAACAGAAGACAGGAAAAGAAAAAAAGAAAAAAACAGAAGACAGGATTAGATGTCTCAAAGGTCTCTTCACATTCAAAAGTTTTGTTTTGTTTTTGAGACAGGGTCTTGCTAGGTAGTTCAGACTGGCCTTGAACTCACTACGTAGCCCAGGATGGCCTCAAGCTTGTGGTGATCCTCCTGCCTCAGCCTCTCAAGTGCTGGGATCACAGGCGTGCACCACCACACCCAGCACACATGCAAAAGTTTTAAAACTTTGGCCAGGGATTTAGCTCAGTGGTGCTGAACCTGCCTGGCAAACAGGAAGTCCTGAGTTTGATTTCCAGTACCAAAAAGAAAAAAAAAGTTTACATTTTCTATAAATTTTTTTCTTTTTTTGTCTTTTTGAGACAGGGTCTCACTATGCAGTTCAGGCTGGCCCTGAGTTCACTTTGTAGCCCAGGTTGGTCTCGAACTCCCAACAATCCTCCTGCCTCAGCCTCCAGAGTGCTGGGATTACAGGTGTGTGCCACCACGCCCAGCAAAAAATTCAAGTTTTAAGAATTTATGAGAAGGCTGGGCGTGGTGGTGCATGCCTATAATCCCAGCACTCGGGAGGCTGAGGCAGGTGGATTGCTACAAGTTCGAGACCAGCCTGGGCTACAAAGTGAGTTGAAGGCCAGCACAAATTGTATAGCAAGACCCTGTCTTAAAAAGACAAAAAACAAACAAACAAACAAAAAAGACACTTTTTTCCTGAAAATATCTTTTAATCTTTGTGGGGATTTGGTATTGCTCTACAAAGAAAAAAATTGGAAAAATTTCACTTCTGAAAATTTCCTTGACCTTCACAAATCCAAAATTCACCTAGATATTATAAGAGTTTAACAAGTACAATCCTATAAAAATGCAAAAAATTTCCTCAGACTAACATAGCTTAATGCTGCTTACCTGGAAGACAAAAATCAAACCCACATCAGATTTAAATACCTCTTAGAGACAGACAACTTTAAATTTTTTTTCTGATTTTTGTTTGGCTTTCTAAAATTTTCTAATCAAGACTGAAAAACAAAAAAAAATTTGTTTTTCAGTGCTGGGGATGGGACCAGGGCCTAATGCATGGTTGGCAGGTATGCTACCACTGAGCTGCAACACCAGCCTTATATTGGCCAATTTTAAATCTAGTTCAGAGGGCTGGGGATCTAGCTCAGTGGCATAAGCGCCTGCCTGGCAAGCGCAGGGTCCTAAGTTCGGTCCCAGGTACCACACAAAAAAAAAACAAAAATCTAGTTCAGAAGTAGTTACAGTTCATTTTGAAAATTAGTGTCAGTAGATCATGCTTAACCAAAGAAACCATCAACAGTGAAGAGATAACCTGCAGAATGTGAGAATGCATTTGCAAACTATACAGCTAAAGGCCGGGTGTGGTGGCTCACACCTGTAATCCCAGCACTCAGAAGGCTGAGGCAGGAGGACTGCTGTGAGTTGAGGCCAGCCTGGGCTACAAAGTAAATTCAATGCCAGCCTGAACTACATAGAGACCCCGTCTCAAAGAGACCAACAAAAAAAACTATACGGCTAACAAAGGGTTAATACACAGACTATAAAAAGGAAATCAGACAAATCAATAGCAAAAAAAAAAAAAAATCAGATTTAACAATAGGCAGAAAGCTGGGTTCAGTGGTGCATGGCTGTACTAGGTACATCCCAGCACTCAGGAGCCTGAGACAGGAAGATTGCCATGAGGTTGAGGCCAGCCAGGTCTATATAGTGAGTTGAGTTCAAGGCCACACTAAACTACACAGCAAAAACCCTGTCTCAAAAAAAGTAAAAGAGAGACACCTTTCCAAAAAAGATATAAAAATAGCCAAGAACTGCCAGGTATGGTGGTGCGCACCTATAATCCCAGTACCTGGGAGGCTGAGGCAGGAGAGCTGGAGGCCAGCTACTACATAGAGAGACCCTGTCTCCAAAAAAAGTCAAGAAGTATGTAAGAAAAAATACTCAACATCACTAATCATCAGAGCAATGTGAATAAAAATCACAATGAGGTATCACCTTATTCTACACAGGTTGGTTTTTATCAAAAAGACAAAAGCTCACAAATGCTGGTAAAGACGCGGAGAGAAGGGACCCCTTGCACACTGTTGATGGGAATGTAATAAGTACAGCAGTTAGGGAAAACAGCATAGAGGTTCCTCAAAAAATTAAAATAGAATTACTATATGATCCAGCAATCCCACTGCAGCGTACATATCCACAGGAAATGCAATCAGTATGTGACGCCATTTACAGTAACCAAAATATGGAGTCCGTTTAAATGTCCAACGGGGTGAATGGTAAAAGAAGATGTGGCACGTACACACCACAGCACACTACTCGGTCACTGAAAACGCCTGTCATCTGCAACAACACGCATGAAGCTGGGGAACTTTATGTTAAATGAAGGGAGCCAGACACAGAACGACAAAGACACGTGGAATCTAAAAAAATTACTTTCACAGAAGTACACAGAGAGAACAGTGCTTACTAGAGTCTGGGGAGGTGAGGAGGAGAGGTTAGTCAACTGAAACAAAGTAAATTTAAAAAGACGACTATCCGATTGCACCATTAGATACCTATAGTTAACAATAAGGTATTGTATATCTCTCTCTTTTTCTGTCTTTTTGAGACAGGGTCTCGCTATGCAGTTCAGGCTGGCCTTGAGCTCACTTTGTAGTCCAGGCTGGTCTTGAACTCCCAACGATCCTCCTGCCTCAGCCTCCCGAGTGCTGGGATTACAGGTGTGCACCACCACGCCCGGCTGGTATTGTATATCTCAAAAATAGCCCAAAGGGATTTTGAACGTTCCCACCACTAAGAAATGATAAGTGTTTGAAGTGATGAATATGCTAATTATCCTGGTTTGATAAGTACATAACTTATGCATGTACTGAAATGTGACACTCTATCCTCTATAAATATGTATGATTATTATTATTTGTTGGGGGGGGACCAGGAATCGAACTCAGGACCTTGCACCTTCCAGGCAGGCACCTGTGCAGCGGAGCTATATCCCCGGCCTATATGTATGATTATTATACGTTGATGAAAAATTAAAAATATTAGATCCTTAAAATTTAGCCAAGGTTTCAACCATATGCAAACCATACCAGGCTCCACCACATGCAGCCTCTTGTATTTATTGAATCATGTTTGAGTGATTCAAACTGTGAAGGAGGGGCTGGGGATTTAGCACAGTGGCACAGCGCCTGCCCAGCAAGCGCAGTCGTGAGTTCGATTCCTGGTACCGAAGAAAAAAAAAAATACAAACTGTGAAGGCAACTTGTGGTAGCAAGCTACGTTACTTACACCTGCTCCAGACCTGCATCTCAAGCAGGGAGCCTCTGCCACTCTAACAAGCAGTAACGAACAACCAGGGCAGGAGACACACTTCTTCAGGAGAAAAGCTCCCTCAGTGAAAGAAAACCGCTAAGTTGCTAGGATGTAGCCTGAGTAATAAAAGTTTCTTCAATCATTTAAAACATGGAGAAGTGAGGTGTCAAACTCAAGCACAAGTGAACCAGTAAGGATGTGTAAGAGACGCTTTCTACTTCTTTTTATTCACTCTTTAATAGGTGGGTGACTGCCACAAGTAATGACAATATTCTCGAATTTGAAGTTAGAAGTACAAAGGAACTCTAATAATATCCAAGTTTCCTGTAATTAGTCTTCAGGCTTAATTTTTTTTTTTTCAGGCTTAAATTAAGTATATGTGTATTTAAGTAGAATGAGCTTGTGAAATCTTTGGGCTTGATCCTTTTTTTTTTTTTTTTCTTTTTGGGCTTGATCGTATCAGAGTAGGATGACGATGAGGGTTTCAAATCTGCAGGCCTGAAACAATAAGCTTAGAGGAAGTACTTTTAGCCAGAACTTAATGGTATAAAAGAACATACATGTACTTCTCAACTTGTATGAATATACTTTAATGTCACTGTTTAAGCCATAAATGAGAAATATTACCTCTTTGAAATGGGACATCCAGTTTGCCAAGATAAGGTGGGAGCTCCTTAAAAAGATATGAGTGAAAAAAAGTTAGCTCTTCAATATAAAAAAGCATTTATCTATGGCCGTACCACCCCGAATGCACCCAATATAGAAAGCATTTTGTACCTTACATAAAATAGAAATTTGCTTTTTCAAAAAATAAGAGAGCCAAGGATATAGCTCAGCGGCACAAGCACCTACCTGGCAAGTGCAAGGTCCTGAGTTTGATTCCTGGTACCAAAAAGAGAGAACAAAATGCTACACACATTTCCAGAGAACACCCTTTAGGACAATATCCCCAAAGGCAAATTAATGATACAATTTCTTACTTTTACCATCTACAAGAAAGAGATACTATTTAATATAGACCTTTTCTCAATAATATAAAAGGATGTCAACAGAAAAATGTCCAGAATAGATAATTCAAAGATAAAAAAGAAAAATAACAGTCATATAGGAGAAAGGGTCTTGCTAGTCCAGGTTGACCTCAAACTCACAGCAATCCTCCTGCCTCAGCCTCCTGAGTGCTGGACTTACAGGCATACTAATTAAATTTTTTTTTGTACTGGGAATCGAACTCAGGACCTTGTGCTTGCCAGGCAGACACTTGTGCCACTGAGCTATATCCCCAGCCTCCAATTAAAATTTAAAATAGGAAACCAGAAAAATTTAGGCATAATTTCAATAACTAATAATGGAAAGGGTACAGCAAAATGAGAATTGTGGTTCTTTTTTTGTTTTGTTTTTCTCAGTGCTGTGGTTTGAACCAGAGCCTTGAACATGCCACTTTCTAAAGCAGTCCTGGAAGTCCTCTTTCTTATCTTTTTAAGATATGAGCAAAATTACAGTGGCTGCAGCTGCCAAGTGCCAGTCAACACAAAGGCAGACTCATAAACACCTTACAGTGTGTACTTATCTCTGGGTCTGGCACGGTGAGACTTCTGGCTCTTTGCCAGAGTCAAAATGAGGATGAACAGTACGTGTTTTGAACTGATGCAAGACAGTGAGGCAGCCGTGACAGTACAACTAAAGACACAGAAAAGTTTTCCCAGAACTGCTTCAGAAACTGGCAAGAATAATGGGATAAGTGTGTGCAAAGTGAGGGGGAGGATTTTCAGGAAGATTAGTGATAATGTGTCTCTTACTGTAATCATTTTATTTATTTATTTTTATTTTTTTGGAGACAGGGTCTCACTATATAGTTCAGGCTGGCCTCGAACCTGAAGTGATCCTCCTGCCTCAGCCTCCTGAGTGCTGGGATTACAGATGTGTGCCACCCTGCCCAGATGTAATTTTTTTTTTCTTTTGTCTTTTTCTTTTTGAGGCTAGCCTTGAACTCTCAGCGATCCTCCTGCATCAACCTGCTGAGTGCTAGGATTACAGACATATGCCACCACACCTGGCTGTAATAACTTTTTAAAGTTTAAACATCACAAGCCAGGCGTGGTGGCGCACGCCTGTAATCCCAGTACTCGGGAGGCTCAGGCAGGAGGATTGCTGTGAGTTTGAGACCAGCCTGGACTACAAAGTGAGCGCAAGGCCAGCCTGAACTGTATAGTGAGACCCTGTCTCAAAAAGACTAAATAAATAAATAAAGTTTAAACATCACAATATTTTTCAATCACACCTTGTAATATATATTAAGACAATAATATTCCTTTTTTACCCAATGATTTTCCTTTTGGGAGTATATTTAGAGAAATAATCATAAATACAGAAAAAATTTATGTAAATAACTTTAAGAAATATAGAATGCCAGTGACTGTCCTGCCTCAGCCTCCTAGAATGCTGGGATTACAGGTTGCACCATCTTACCTGGCTGTCCTTGGTTTTCTGAGTATAACTGGTAAATAAAATCATATATATTAAAGGTGTATGACATCACCTTATGTTTTGAGATATATATACATTGGGAAATGATAATTATAATTAGCTAGTCAATTTGTATCACCTCATATAATGTAGCAATTCTTAATATCCTCGGCTTGGAAGCATTTTACAATAGTACAAGACAAAAAGTACTCTCAAATAAAAAAATGTGCTCAACATCTCCCTCCCAGAGATAGATTAAAACAGTTAAGTAAAACAAAAAAACAAAAAAACAAAAACAGTTAAGTAAATGCTATTCTAAATGATTTTATATATATCTTTATATCTATTGATACCTTATAAATAACTTTTTATACCCATCTAAATATAGCTTTAATCCTTGCACATAAAAATGTTCAGTAAAGTGTTAACTATACTGGTAAAAACATAGAACTAACTGAATGTTCAGTAGTAGAGGGGTGACTCAAACAACTACAGACCCACTTCATGTCATGATTGCAGTCATTTGAAGTATTTATGAAAACTAAGCACGGACTCTGAGCTGCTGATGCTGCCTGTTTCCAACTTTAGGACATTCTGGAAAAAGAAAAACTACGGAGACAACAAGATCAGTGGTTGTCAGGGGACGGGGCAAAGGCCGGGCTAACCTGGCAAGCTGCAGAAGGTTTGCGGGTGGTGGGACTGCTGTGTGTGACAGCATAACTGTGGGTACAGTCCTTGGAAACGTGTCTAAACCCTGGAATGTACCACACCAGAGGTGAGCTCTCGGGTGAACTTCGGGCTTGCAGGGTAATCATGGTACACATAGGGCCTCTGTAACAAATGTGCCACTCCGACGTGGGTGCCAACAGTGGGAGCGGGTATGCCTATGCAGGCTTAGTAGGTAGTGGGCACACTGTATTTTTCCACTTCATTTTTCTGTGAACCCAAAACTTCTCCAAAAAATAAAGTCTACTTTTTAAAACGCATGGGAAGCATGTGATAACACACATTTGTAATTTTAGCTGTTTAAGAGGCTGAGGCAGGAGGATCACAAGTTTGAGGCAGCTTGGGCAACTCAGTGAGACCCTGTCTCAAAATAAAATTTAAATAGGGCTAGGGATGCAGCTCAGTGGTAGAACTTAGCATGCAGAGACCCTGGGTTCAATCCCCAGTGCCCCAAAATAAATAAATAAATTAAAAATACAAAGCATGGAAAAATATCATGCTATACTGTTAAGGTATTAAAAACAAAGCCATAGGGCTAGGGATGTAGCTCAGCACCACAGCGCCTGCTTGGAAAGTGCAAGGTTGTGAGTTCGATCCCTGGTACTGAAAAAAAAAAAATCTCATTCTCTAAAAAACAAAGCCAGGTATGAGTGACAGCACATGCCTACAGTCCCAGCACTTAGGAGGCTTGGAGGCAGGAGGATTGTCATGAGTTTGAGGCCAGAATAGGTCACATGGTGATTTTTTTTTTTTTGGTACCGGGAATTGAACTCAGGACCTTGCGCTTGCCAGGCAGGTGCTTGTGCCACTGCGCTATATCCCCAGCCCCATCACATGGTGATTTTAAGGACAGCCTGAATTACACAGTGATACCTTGTCTCAAAAAATCAAAAACATAAAATAAAATAAAGTATTAACACAATATGTATAATACATAACAAAATTTTTATAAAAAACATAGGAGATATATATCTATATCTATAAGCTATAGTCATTCTATTAACATGAGTTTGCTTTAGGTGGTAAAAAGCAGGCATTAGGGGCTGGGGATTTAGCTCAGCGGCAAAGCGCCTGCCTGGCAAGCGCAAGGTCGTGAGTTCGGTTCCCGGTACCGGAGAAAAACCAAAAAAACAAAACAACAACAAAAAAAAAAAGCAGGCATTATTTTTTCCTTCTATTTATTAGATTTAATGAGTATATAAACTAGTATGAGCAGATTTTAAAATGGTGCTCATTTTATGTGAAGGCTAAAGTTAATTCATATCTTTATCTGAATCACGTAAATAAGTTGAATTCCAATAGTTTTACATTTGAGGACTTGTAATTTTGTTAAAATGCTATAAAAGTAAGTCTCCATAGGTGTATTTGTTTTTTGTTTCTCACTATGTAGCGCAGGCTGGCCTTGAACTTGCTTATGTAGTCCCGGCTGGGCTCAAACTCAACAGTGATCCTCCTGCCTCAGCTTCTCTAGTACTGGGATTACAGGTGTGTACCACCATGCCCAGCCATAGATGTATTTGTACAGTACAAAATCCTCAGGGGGAAGTCAGAATAGTTTTCTTTTCTTTTTTTTTTTTTTTGGTACCAGGAATCGAACTCAGGACTTTGTGCTTGCCAGGTAGGCGCTGTGCCACTGAGCTATATTCCAGCCAAGTTTTCAAACATTTATTTGAAAGCACTTATAAACATTCATTAGTTAATCACTTATAGTTTCAAAAATTGGAGCAATATCTGGCATTCACTGCCTTAAAATGTCTTATCAACTCATATCTCATATATATATTTTAATCATGATTTTTTACTTACACAGTACTTGAGATCAGAGACGTTTACATTGATTCCAGTTGCTCTCTTTAGATTCTCATCATGTGACACTACAACTTGTTCGTCTTTTGTGATATGGCAGTCCAATTCTAGCATGTCAGTTCCAATTGTAACTGCACTGAAGAAATAAAAAAATGACATTTTGAAAGTTACATAAAATTAAAGTTACATGCGTCAGATGTAATAATTCAGAGTTGCAAATCCAAAATATCCTATGATATTGCAATATCCCCTCAACATCATCTATCACCACTTACTGATGAGAAAACACTCTACATGATCTTAGAGTAAGTGAATCACTTTGCCACCTGTCCTTAATCATAAATCCTCAATCCTGGGAATCCAAAAGAATACTTGGCCAGAAGTTAAGCGATCGCCCCACCAGTTCCTGATGCACTATGTATGAACCTGTATAGCTTATGGCAAGTAAATTTCCCCACTAAGCCCCATGTTTCCACATCTATAAGATGAAAGGATTAAGAAATACAACAAAAACTGAGCATGATAAAAATACACCTGTGACCCCAGCACTCAGGAGGCTGAGATAGGAGGATCACAAGTGTGAGGCCAGCCTGGGGTACATAGTGAGAACCTGTCTCCATAAGAGACAGACAGAGAGACACAAGGCTGGGTGTGACGGCATATGTGTGTGACTCCAGCTGCTCAGAGGCTGAGGCAGGAGGATTATGAGTGCAAGGGCAGCCTGGGTAACGTAACAGGACCCCATCTCAAAAACAAAAAAGAAACAAGACCAGGATGGCTGCTTTTGTCTTGTGATTCAACATACAATTCAAAGCTCTAGCAATTAGAAAATAAAACATTCCAATTGGAAAAGTAAAATTATCTCTATTCACAGGTGGCATGGGGTTTGTTTTGTTTTGTTTTGTTTTTCCCTACTGGAAACTGAACCCAGGGCCTTCATACTGAGCTATATCCCTAGCCATTCATTCATTCATTCACTCATTTTGAGACATGGTCTAAGTTGCAAAACTGCTCGGGTAGAACTCGGATTTACAGCTCACTTAGCTCAGCTTTGCAGAGTGCTGGGCTCACAGGCGTGTGCGACGGTGCCTAGTTGGACATGGTCTTATACACCAAAACCTCTAACCTGGGGTGTAGCTCAGTAGTGGAACTCTTGCTTAGCATACCCAACACCCCAGCATAGCAAAAAAAGAAAACTAAACAAACTAAAAAACTGCTAAAGATTCCATAAAAAATTAGAATAAAATTAATAAATTCAGCAATATGCTGGAGACAAAATCAACATACAAAGCTTAGTTTTGTTTATATATACCGAGAAACTAAGGAAATAATTCCATTTATAGGGTCCGGGATGTAGCTCAGTGGTGCAGCATCTGCCTGGCAAGTATGAGGCCCAGAGTTCAGTTCCTGGTACCAAAACCAAATAATAATAATTCCATTTATAACAGCATCACAACCAATAAAATACTTGGAAAAGAAACTAAAGTTATACAGATATGTATAAATGTATTTAAGATGTAACTACTACCCAAAGTGAGCTACAGCACCATGGCAAGTCTACCAAAATCCCAATGGTGTTTTTTTGCAGAAAGAGAAAAAGCCATCTTGAAATTCATATTGAGCCGGGCATGATGGTGCACGTCTATAATCCCAGCACTCGGGAGGCTGAGGTAGAAGGACTGTTGCGAGTGTGAGACCAGCCTGGGCTACAAAGTGAGCTCAAGGCCAGCCTGAACTGCATAGTGAGACCCTGTCTCAAAAAGACTAAATAAATAAATAAACAAATAAATAAATAATAATAAAAAAGTAGGACCTCATGCTTACCAGACATACTCCACTGCTGAGCTATATCCCTGGCCCCAAGATACTATCCATAGAGTAAAAAAATAACCCAAAGAATGGTAGAAAACTACTTTCAATGACATATCTATAAAGGGATTTATATTTACAATATAAAAGTAATTCCTAAGACCCAACAACAGCAAAACCTATTTAAAAATGTGCAAAGGATTCAATGGATTGCAGGGGTTTTTTTGTTGTTTTGTTTTTGTTTTTGTTTCTGTTTTTTTCTGGTACCGGGAACTGAACTCACAACCTTGAGCTTGCCAGGCAGGCGCTGTGCCGCTGAGATAAATCCCCAGCCCCGGATTGCAGGTTTGAGGTCAGATTAGCAAGATCTTGTCTCAAAATAAAAAAAAAAAACTAAACTAAAAAGAGGTCTAGGGATGTGCTCAGCACAAGGGTCATAGATTCAGTCCCCAGTTACACACACACACACACACAAAATAGATTTGAATAACATACTTCCCAAAGAAGATGTACAACTGGCAAATAAACACATAAAGATGAAAAAAATAAGCAACATTACTAATCATCAGAGAAATGCAGCCAAAACCACAGTGAGATACCACTTCACAGTCATCGGGCTGGCCCTGATAACAAACACCTGTTAATAAGCTCTGCAGAGGACTGGGACCCTGTGTTGTTGGGGCATAAACTGGGGCAGCAGAACATCAGCAAGATGGTAGAGCAGGAGGCCCCAGGCTTCACCCCACCCACAGAAAGGCCAACTACCGACTGCTCACAGAGAGAAACACCTTGGGGAAAACCCTAGCACCTGGGGATAAGCCTGCGTCACTTACACATTCCATGGACATAAATAAAAAATAATGAATAAAAAAATCTGCTCTTGAAAGGGCAAGAGAAATAGTCTCTCTTTGACAGCCTCGCCCTGTTGGCTCCCTAAGTCAACAGAGCATCACATGGAGAGAAAGCCTGAGGACCCACAGTCTCCACGGAGAGAAAACAGTGGAGCAGATACCCAGATCCCCTAGCGTCCTAAGACCCAGGAAGCCCACTCATTGACACTGGAGCCAGCTGAAAGCACGACCAGCCAGCAAAGCTGAGCTGGTCACTCCCACAAGAGGTGGGGTGTGCTGCCTCCAGGTTCGGATTAGACAGGCCTCACCAAGGGAAGGAGAAGACCCCTCCAGAATCCTGACAGTGAGCAGACACGAGTTGTGCTACCACTGGGCATTCAGTCCGCACTCACTGCAGCCTCAAAGCCCACTCCTACACCCTGCGCAGGGACAGAGGCAAATCTCAAGCAAAATTTTTGCTTTTATTGGAAACAGGTCTCACTATGTAGTTCAGGCTATCCTTAAACTCACTATGTAGCCCAGGCTGGTCTTGAGCTCATGGTAATCTTCCTGCCTCAGCCTCCCGAGTTCTGGGATTACAGGCATGCGCCACCACGCATGGCTCCAGCAAGTCATTTTTACCAAGCATAGCAAGTAGTCCGGCCACCCCAAGTCCCCTTAACTCTGGGGCCCCACCTTCAACCTTGTCCAACTGCTACACTCAAGTAGCAGCACTGTCTTGGTTACTTTCCTCTCGTTGCTGGGACAAAATACCTGGTGCCCCAGTTTAAGGAAGGAAAAGTTTATTTCGCTTACAGTTTGTGGAGGTTTCAGTCCATACTTGGCAGGTGACAAGGCAGAGTGGCACATGGCAGAGGGCTACAGCTCATGGCAGCAGAACACAGCAAAAGCAACACGCACACAAGGGAGGAATGGCCGTAAGCAGCCTCTTCCTCTCCCTTACATATGCAAATTATCCACCCCAGGGCGGTGTAGCTCTCACACCCATAATCAATCAAACTCTAAAAGCCTGCCCCATGACCACATGAGGCTTTGTGGGGACACAAAGACACAGACCATAACAAGCACGTTCTGGCCAAGATTGCGTCCTGCCGCCCAGCCAGGTCAGAACAGTGCCCACCAGCCTGACTGCAGAGCTCAACTTGTGGTCTTACTAGACAGCATAACCTAGCAATCTGCCCCATCAGAATTTAGAGCAAAGAAAAGGGATTGAATGGAGGGAAGGGGAATGGGAAAAATTAAAGAATCAAGTTGTATCATGTACAGGTACAAATTCCCTATAATGAATGTAATCAAGCCGGTCTTAGTGGTGCACGCCTGTAATCGCAGCACTCGGGAGGCTGAGGCATGAGGATGGCCATTAATTTGGGACCAGCCTGGGCTACATAAGAAAGTTTAAGGCTAGCCTGCACTACTTAGTAAGACCCCGTCTCCAAAAAAAAAAAAAAAAAGAATGTGATCATTGTGTATAACTAAAATGTACCAATAAACTTAATAAATAATAATAATAGTAAAGAATTCAGAGCAAAGATTGCCAACAGCCATCTACAGAAACCTAAAGAAAGCCTTGACTTCTCAGGGGCATTACCAGCTGGCCCATCTAGAGCCACATTAAATAGCTAAGGTATCCCTGCCAAAGAATACCTGTTAAGGCCAAAAAAGGTGGTTTTCTCTATAAATATACAAACACCAATGAAAGCACACAAGAATTTAAAAGACTCATTAAAGCATGACACCTTCAAAAGAAAAGAACAAAGCTCTAACAATGGACTCGAAAGAAAAGGAGATCTATGAAATAACAGAAAAAGAATTCAAGGGCCAGAGATATAGCTCAGTGGCACAGCGCCAGCCTGGCAAGTGCAAGGTCTTAAGTTTGATGCCTGGTACTGGGGGGACGGGGGAAGAATTCAGAAAAGAATTCAGAATAATCATTTACAAAGTTCTATGAATTAATTGTAAGACTGTAAACTTTTAAAAGTTAAACAGGACTGGGTATGGTGGCATGTGTCTGTAATCCCAGCACTCAGGAGGCTGAGGCAGGAAGATTGCTGTGCATTTGAGGCCAGCCTGGGCTACATAGTGAGTTCAAGGCCAGCCTGAACCACAGAGCATGATCCTGTTTCAAAAAACCAAAACCAAAACCAAATGGATGTGAAGATAAAATAACTTCCCCAGCTGGGTATGGTGGTATGTGTGTAGATTCAGTTACTGAGGAGGATCCCTTGAGCCTGAGTTCAGGCCCAGCACTGGAGCATAGTAAGACTCTGTATTTTAAAAAAAAAAAGCAGTTATGGTGGCACACACCTGTAATCTCAGCAATTTGGGAAGTTGAAGTGAGAGGACAGCAAGTTCAAGACCAGCCTGGGCAAGTTAGCAAGATCCTGTCTCAAAAAAACTAAAAGGAAAAAGGGGCTGGGTGTGGTGCCTGTGGAAATAGATCAGTATGAAGGTCCTGGGTTCAATCCTCTGTAACACA